ACGCACTAAACCTTGGTGTTTAATTAATGCCCAATGCACACATTACATTATCGTCAAAGGCTCTGTTTACATTTAGTTTAAAAATTCATCTTGGGCCATCGGGTCACAAGTGGACAGCTGAGACACATCGTCGTTTACGCCTGTGTCTGTCATCGCGAGTCTCCGAGGTGTTCAGCTGACCACTTGCGCTCAGACGTCCTTACTGTCCCACGCACGGTTATTGTGACATCAGATCGCAATACCTCATTTACACGTATTCAGCGCTGTTCCAAATTCAGGGGCTGCATCCTTCAGGGGCTGCATTCGAAGCCCAAATGTGTCACGGCCGTGCGATAAGACTGCCCCATTTCTAAGGCATTTTCAAATGCAGCGTATGAATGAATCCTTCCTTTGCCGAGTCTCGAAGGATCCGCCTGATGGGTCCTTCTCACTCCAACACCCAAGATTCATTGTGCAGGGGTCAGGTGGGGGTCTCCCGGCCAGGCGACAGGAGCGGCCCTTCGTTAGTCAAGGGTAAGGCCAGAATGTCTCCTTTGACAAAGTGTTCTGTTCGACCTTCAAAAAACGCAGCCTACGAAAGGTTACACCTCCATAGATTGAGACCTTAAAAGGATTAAGCCCCCGATATTCATACATAAAATCACATGTTAATGCCAGAAAATCGCATAATTTTTCTAACCCTAACCCTAGCCTCAGTTTGCTAACCCTAACCCTAATTTGGGGCCTTACGGTGATACAACAGGCTGTTGGAAAGTAGGAAATACGCTACTAAAGCATGCTAAACTGTGGTTTCCTATCTTATGGGGGAGCAGACCTGTCATAAAACCACATTTGGATGCTTGAAAATGCCATACTTTTTCTAACCCTAACCCTAGCCTAGGTTTGCTAAGCCTAACCCTAATTTGGGGCCTTACGGTGATACAACAGGCTGTTGGAAAGTAGGGAATACACTACTAAAGCATGCTAAACTGTGGTTTCCTATTTTATGGGGCCCAGATCTGTCATGAAATCACATGTTGATGCCTGAAAATGCCATACTTTTTCTGACCCTAAACCTAGCCTCAGTTTGCTAACCCTAATTTGGGGCCTCAAGCATCCATTTCCTCTTTCCAGCTCCCATGGGGTGTCAGTTTTGCGTTGTTAGTCTCAGTTATCTCCCTGCCTTTGTTTGACCTATCAGGGTTCCTGTTTCTGGCTTCATGAGTTCAATTTATTAATAAAATCCCCTTGTTGTCAGTAAGTCACACCAGGTTTGGCCTTCCATCATGCCTCGCTTTAACAGATTGCCCAGGAAGCATTTAAAACCCAAATGTAAACAGGGACAAAAGTGCTTCATCTGAGTTTTTATTTTATCAAACAAATGAATTAATAAATCACCACTGCATGCACATTTCTGGGACAGCCTTACTCACACTGATGTCCCAACTGCATGGTCTGAGGAAAATCTCCTTCATACCCATGCTTTAAAATGTACTTTCAAGCAAAGATTAATGAGTAATTTGGCGGACTTGGACTGAGGGACCTTCAAATAAAGATAAAATGATCTGTTTTCATATTCATTTAATGTAGAAAATATCCGACAAGCCGGAAATGCTAATTAAACACGTGGCAGCATATAAAACTCAATTTCGCCAAAGAGCTGACTTGAACATACGGGTATAGTTATAGCTACTTTCTGAGCTCCACTGAGGCAATAGCACAGTGCTAAACGAATTAACGTTTAACATTAACGTATTTTACAAGCGCTTTTCTTTGGCAAATTAATTGTTTATAACTGTCTCGGCTCTAGTGAAATCTCAATTCAGAGTGGTGGCGAGTGGTGCGCAGGGTGCAATCTGTATGCATTGGGGCGCTGAATGCGGCGTTACAAGCGCATCGTTTAACGCTGACTACTTTATCAAGATGCTTTATGTCAGCATTTAAGGGTCAGGACCCTCTGGTTAGACAGCCAGCAGGGCGCTCCGGTTCAGCAGCACTATGTAAATATGCTGGTTCCTGCCTGAGGGCATCCCCCCGCCCCGGACTGGGAAGCTGGTTATTTATTCAAAATGATGCATTTCAGTGTCAGAGTAACTGGTGCCAGGAGAACCCGAGTACGCACGGCGGATTACAGGAGCGGTTTCAGATGAGCGAAGCCGGGGCACGTGAAGGATCATCTTTCTTAACCATTCATTTTATTTAAGCTTCGCTTCTCCCTCCCCCATTCCCCCCCCCTCGCAGCCGGCAGTTTCACATTGATCAACCACTTTTCCATTTACTCCCCCCCCCCCGCCGCATAAAGCGGAGAAGATGCTGTGTTTGCTTTGGCCCCATTTTACATGGCCTCCATATTTCTGTTTCGGAAAGCTAACGATAACGAAACGACAACGGTGTTAGCTTTCCTGAAACTCGAATAGGGCGCTAGGGGCTGAATGTATGTCCCCCGTCCCCGAGATTTCAATCAAACTGACCGGACAACTTCTTTGTCCTGTTTCGCGGATTCAGTGTCATCTCAATCGCGGGTGTTTAAAATTTAAAGGTAATTTGCGACGCTAAGTGGAAAAAAACAAAACGACCTAGCAGTGAATGATTTTGTTTAGGTTATTGTGACATGGTGGAGGCAGAAGAGCCGGTAGGTCTTGGGGGCGTTACCACCTGAATGCTGTGTCACATACACACACACACACACACACACACTCTGATCATTTGTACTGCTGGTGTGTACTGCTCCTCTGGTAAGATGGTGACGCCGAAGGTGGCAGGCTGTCCTGTCTCCCTCTTCCAGGATCTGAGCCTGCAGGATGAGGCAGACTCCGTCACAGATAAGCCTTCCACACCGCTTCCTGGGGCCCCTCAATGGACGACAGCTGGGCCCCCAGATCACGTGTACCTCCTGGCGGCCACCATCTTCCAGAGCTTCCGCTTGGAGACGTCATCTGTGTGCAGGCTGGTAAATTACGGGGAGAAGATCAAGCCACCCGTGCCCAAGGCCAAGGACGAGGCATCCCGGCATTGGGCCTACGAGCTGGCCTTCAACACCTTCACCTGTGAGTAACATGGAGGAGCAGAGCGTGATGAACAGGGCTGCCAGGTCGAGAAAATGAGGGTGTCGTAAAAAGCTGGTTTGGAGTCTGTTTTATAGTAACATAGAATGCACAGCTGAGATATTGAGATTTGCACTCTTTAATAACAGCATTACCTATATTAAGAAGACACTTTTGTCCAAAGTAAAGATCATACAGAAGGGTCAGAGGGATTTAAAGGCTTTACTCATGGGCCCAACGGCAAACCCCGTTGCCATCTATGGGATTTGAACCGACGACCTTCTGATCACAGGCAGAGCCACACAGCAGGCCAGAGTCAATTTCACATCAGCATTCGTTATCTGTTCCAAATCTGTTTGCCAGAAGCTCCTCCTCTCTGATCCTCCCTTGTATGTTGCTTCAGACAAAAGCATTTGCTAAATAAGGTGAATGCTTTGTGAATATATGCGTATCATGTTCAGATCTTTGAGTGAATTTGTAATGTGAATAACAGTGCCCACAAATGACATCAATGAATAGCAAAGAGCAGAAGGCTGATTGGATGGCGGATGGTCCCATGTTCCTCCAGAGGCTGATTCATCTACAGAAACGTCCAGACGTACGACACCTTAACACACACAGCTCTGAAGCAGACCAGAATGGATTTCATTGTGTTTCAGTGGTAACATAAATCCATCTCTGATATGGAACTTGAGGATTAAGGGTTTCCTCATTGTGATAGGACGATCAAACCCTTTGCTGAAAGACATTCTATCGTTTTCTGTCGTACAGCATTGACAATTTGCATTGACAATTTGTTATTACCGTCAATTGATGCTGATCTGTCTAGTTGGGAAAACAGCAGACTGAAATTTCTCCAGAATCCTGTGTACTATCAATCCCAACATGCCATCTGTCTGATTACTATACCAAACCTTGCCTGTTCGTCTTTGTCCATAAAGTGGGAACACGGGTCAGTACTGATAGGCTTTCGTACTGCAAAATCCCAGATTCTTCGTAATATTTAGTATCCTACAGGGAAAATGATTGCCACAGATGATATCTGAAGCAAATCTGTCCAAACATCGAGGGAAATAGATTCTAGGACAGGCTGCGTAATAAACACAGTGTGTCCCTCGATCTGTGGGAATTGTTCTCAGAGATGCATACATTTCCCGTGCCTTGTTGTTGACAGCTATTGTTCTTGATCTTTCCAAGGCTCTCACACCTTTTGGTTGCAGAATCTTTCCATTTTCAGGAAAAAAAGCTAAAACAAGCATTACATAAACATCATGTAAAATATATCAGCAGTGGTTATGTCTGATTTCTGATTGAAGCGATCTCATCACGGTGTTGAATATTTGTAAAATAACAGTAATGTTTTACATTAATTTTTTTACATTATACATTCATTTATAATCGATTCTTAGAACATTCAGTGCACCTTCATAATGTATTTATAACACATTCATAGAATATTTATAAGCAGTCTATAAGTATATTTTAACATGATAACATACCTTAACAGCTATAATATACATTAATAAAAAATATGTGATAATAACAAACAATTATTAATCATACAATGTGTGTTATTAATGCATATTAAAGCTGTTAAGGTATATTAGGATGTTAAGGTATACTTAAATGCTGCTTATGAATGATCTATGAATGCATTATGAAGGTGCAGTTAATGTAAACTGTTACTAGTAAGACCACACACTGTATTTCTTAGTATTGTGCATTTAAGAACATCTTAATTCCAGGTTAGAAAAATGAACATTCAGTATTGTGAGAGGAAGGCTAGGCTGCTATTGAACACGCAGGTCAGCTGGGAATTTGTCCAAGGTCTTCTCTACCAAGGCTCAAGGGTTGTTAAAGGTTGTTTCCTGCGTGCCTTGTTTTGTCTATTGCGCTGAATTAATCCTAAAATCTTCATCATTGTCCAATATTCTTACATAATGACTCTCCTGAAAACTGCTTTGATGCTGATTTCAGATCACGAGCTTCTTGAAGACACCATGATTGACAGCAGCCTCTCCCACACCATTGTGAGTGCTAAGCTCTAATGCTTTAGCCTAGAAAATGCAACGAGAATTGGGTGGGGGTGCAGAATTTTGTGCCATAAAAAAACAGTTCACAACTTCGCACATGTGTTTGCGGATCTTCGTCTTGCATGTTAGATGTATTAAGCCCTTAGCTTTTCATACACCATTATTTCCCCCAAAGCGAATTACAAACAGGAAATCCAGTTCGGTGAATCAGTTTTGCTTTGACCACTTGAGGTTTTCTTTTTGATCGGCATCTCAGAACTTCAGCATTTCAGGATTCCTCAGATCTTAGACATAGTCACCAAGTAGCTTTCGATTCTGTTCCCTTTATGATTTTGGGTTGTTGAGAAGGGTTTCTCAACCTTTTTCATCAAAGGTCTGCATTAGATTTTTGTTCAAAGTCAGAGGTCCGGAACAAATTTTCAATAACAAAACAGCATTTCATGAACTTTCATGAACATGAATTAACAAACTAGCCATCAAAATAGACATCAATATGTAACAAAAATGGGAACTTTGCAATGCTTGCTAATTTTTTTTTGTGATGGGGGAGGGGGTTATGATGAGCTACAGTATGTGTAAATTTGATGGTTCTACATTGTATTTTTTTTTACTTCAAATCACGTTAAGCCTTTTTAAATTAATCATATATCAAGGTATATTATTGGCAAGATCCGAATTAACTTGTGGTTTGGTTCTTATCCGGACTTTGAGAACCTCTGTTGTAGAGTAACCATAAGCCGGTACATCGTATGGAGGGTGGGATCAGAACAATTCCAAGTGCCAGCGACGAGCCTTAAGAAAAATTTGGAACATAATTGGATTTTCCTGGGTTTGTGGGGCCCAAAATCTCTAGTGGCAGCCCTGACCACATGGAAAAGTTGTTAGGTCATCGGGTCTTAATATTAGATTTGAAGGTCATGTTGATGAACGGTCTTTGCGAACCACTTTGTGGTTTATTTAATCTCGATGGAGCCGGATTAATCAAAGTGACACAAATCCACAGTGATGACTCTTGAACATCCATTATCCTTCTGTAAAAACACACAGGATAAGCCAAACATCTAACCAATGTTCTGCTCTTTAGCTTTCATACATATTTACCGTTCGGTTTAATCCCTGTTTGGTAGGTGTTCATCCCTGTGGCTCTGTTTGAATTCAATTATGCTTAAATGTAAAACAGTGCAGGATAACATTGAATTCAAACCGAAAAGTGTGTCGAGACAGGAGTTGTGCAAACACGCAGCGACAGACACGCGGGTGAGAGTTCCGATGAGGAAGCAAGAATAGAGACTTTGAGGAAGCTTGTGAAGGAGATGAGAGAGGGGCAGCTCTCTCTGCAACATACGTAGCGCTTATAGGTCGCACTTTGTGGATGTCTTATCTGTGTGCATCAGAATGTATGAAGGGTCCTTTTCACAGTGCAGGTTTTAGCGGAACGCTATTCAGTTAGCACCTGGCACTAAGGGAACTTCCTTAGAAGGGTTGAAGGATCATCTCCCACATGCTGGGCATCTTTATGGATTTCTGACGTGGCCTCAGAAGTTCCTTGGTTGTGGGTGCAGGACGGATGCCATCCTTTCATTGGCTGCCCCTCTCCTTGCCTTTAACCCCCTGTATGCCATGTGACTCCGTCTGGCTGTGTGTCCTTGTCCCCATAGCCTGCAGACACGATGAGCCTTGCCATGGTGATGCTGTACGACCTCCAGGACATTAAGTTCATCCCCCGGAAGCGACCCAGTTCTGACCCAGTGGAGCGGCTGGCCGACGTGGTAGAGATGGAGAGGTATCTGAACAGGTCCGTACCGCAGTTACCTGATCAATTTACTGTTTTTTGTTTCTTGTTGTGCTTCAGGGGCACTAGATAAATTATCGGACCCTGCACTCAGACCGCAACCTTTACTCTCAACTGTATGTGTGTTACAACTCAAAAGTAAGCGTGATGGCATATGCGCAAAGAAGAATTCCACTGTATCTGTACCCGTGTTTGTGCAAATGGCAATTAAAGCACCATTTCATTTTTTAAACGTAGTTTCATTTTATCATTTCATTTAGATAATTTCATTTCATATTTTTAAACCTTTTTTTTCCGACTGACTGTCTTTAAGGCCAAATGGGTCCAGTGTGCTGTTATTGTTTCTGTTGCTGTTAAAGGTGACGGTGACGATTGTGTCGTTGCTGCAGATAAGTCACTGTCGGCAGGCGAGATGTCAGTTGGGTATGGGGGTCTGTCAGCCCAGCACCTAATCTCTGCTTCCCTCCTTTCTGGTATCTGTCATAATCTCCTCCCCCCCCACCAACTCTACCCAAAGTTCCAGGACCAAACTGGCGGCCTCGCTGGCCCGCTGCCGGATTAGAAGTGGCCTTCTCTCCATCGACGCCGTCCTGCCGGAGTCTGTGAGGAAGCGCCGGGAACGTGCCTCTTCCCTGCCCCTGTTTGCCTGGGTCAACAGCCTGAAAACCTGGTGAGCTCCTGACCATCCTGGCCTCCACTGCGATCACTGCATAGTGCCGCCATGATTCTGGCAGTTAACAAAGACCATCCACAGGGCACTATCCATGTACCTCACTTTTGGTACATAATACATAGACCTCATAACTCAAAAATTTACATGAACCTCTCACCACCCTTTGATGAGGCCCTAGGGTGGTCTGTCTCTGTCTTTAAACCCCAAGAAGTCCTATGAATCTGTTCATCTGTCACTAAATTTGCTACTCGAGTACCTTGGACAGGGATCTATAAAAGCTGTTTAGCATAACCGTATGCCTGCCAACTCCCAAGCCATTTTCCCCATAATGGCAGCCCTCAGTCCTGAATGTTTAGTCAGATCACCCTGCGACTCTGTCCGGATGTCCTCCGTGCCGCAGCGGCCGGCTGGCCTTACCGAGGATGGAGGCTTTATCTGCCATCGTTTCAGGAAACGACCGAGACTGCAGGACCTGGACAGAAGCCAGAAGAAGAGACAAGCAGTGGTTGATTTGTTGTACATCCCCTGCTTCCAGTTCAGCTTGGCTGGATCTATTGTAGAGATTCTCAGCTTATCCCAGGACAACAGCCAGTTTTTTCCCTCTTGGGGTATTCTTGCCGACAGGAGGGTGGGCCTTCGGCAATTTTTTTCCGGCTGGCAATTGGGTACGTGTGACAGTTCATACCGGACCAAACTGTGTTCAGCTAATACAGTATAAATCCATGGTCTCAACCAGTGGTTGAGAAACCCTGGTCTACAACCCCAAAAAGTTGGGACAGTAAAGCATTCACCACTGTAAAGTTGCCGTTCCTTCTCACGACACTTAAAAGACGTTCTGGCACTGAGGATAGCAAATGATGACGTGTTTCTGGTGTTATTTTGTCTCATTATTCCATGCAAACGTGAGCTTTACTCTATTGGTCACCTGCAGGAGGATTCAGATGTGCTCATTGAGGAGCCTTAATATCCAGCGAATCACAACAGACTGTGACCTCATATTTCATTTTGATGAGGTCACACAGGACCACCGTGTGACCTCATCCTCTTTCATGAATCAAGCTCAGCCTCCTATAAAGCTGTGCAGTTCTTTTTGCATGGTTTTATTCCTAATAAATTTGCAATGCCAGGCAGGTATGGGATTATAGTGTTATTTTTGCAGTATAATGTTAACCTTCAAGAAAGTGTTAAAAAATTGCGACGTCAGCTGTGCCCTACTCTGCTGTTCGTCCTCCCAGCCTCGAGGACGTCTGCAGTGCTCTGGAGGCGGGGGGCTTTTCTGAGGTGAACGGCCTCGAGCAGCTGCAGGGGGCTGCCTTCTGCCGGGACCCGCACTGCCGGGACCTGCTCGCCTTCCCTTCCCGCCTCAGAGGTCGCCTCTACGGCTCACCGCTTTTCATCCACCGGCGGCTCCTCGTTCAGGTCAGCGACAGCACTAAGCAGCTGTAAAGGGCCCAGCGGCCACCAGGGGTCACCCTCACAAACTGATCAGCCTGTCAGAATGGGAAGGAAGACGACAAATGACGACTAGGCTAATTATATTTCGCTTAGGGTCCTAAAAAGGGTTGGGCCGACCCCAGAAGGGGCTGCGTTTTCTCTGGTGGTAGGTGAGAATTGAGAGGTGGTCTATAAAATCCATCACAGCTAGACAAAAGCCCAGAGAGACAGATATCACAAGCATTTTTCCATTATCTCCATGGTTACCTGCCCCACTGCCTCATGGGAGCACGAAGATCTAGCTAAACATGCAAAGCATATGCTCACTTCATCTTTAATGGCGAGGTGCCAAGACACCCCCTAACAGGTATTCCTGGTGTTTTCCCATGATTCCTGAGTTCTGTTCGAAATAACACCCCAAATGCTGACGGTCATGTTTCATTGGGGTCTGCTGGTCTTCACATGTAGGCCGGTTCGTGGCGTGAGAGTTAATCTTAGCAGTGCGTTCACACCCTCCGGCGATTTAATGCTGAGCGTACTCTCAGTACGCCCCCTTCAAAGTGTGAACCGCTGACCTGAGTACCGGGGACACGGTGTGGGTAATATTAGCCGGGATTACAGTTTCTCCCACAATCCTCCTCACCGCATAATGCCACATGGAAAAAAAAAAAGAAACGAATGGAGATAGACTACAGAAGATCGAGGAGAGGATAATGCTGTGGCAGTAAGCTATTGTGAAAACTTACTCTAGTTTTTGTTTTTATGTCTTTACACATTTTATTGTATTTACCTGGTTCGACGTGTGAATCTTACCTGACTTCCTAGGATAAGTGTCGCACTTTGGCCCTGAAATGCATGAGCCCCCTGCTGGCCAAAGGGAGTAACCTGCTGCTGGCCGGCGCCCTGTCAGCCTCCAGCATCGCCCACGCCGCCGCCCTCGCCGCGTCGCACTCCGCCCACGTCTACATCTGCAGGGCCAGCCACATGGGGCCACAGAGAGGGGAGCTCCAGCGCTGCCTGTCCGACATGGGCTGCAAAAGTACGTGAGGGGTCCTTCAACATGGGGCTGCCCTCCTCGTGCCTGTGTATTGCGTAATTAATTCATATTTTGTAATTTATAATGTGTATTTATTATACTACACTACCCTATTGTGAAGGAAATCGCCTCTCTGTCTCCGAGACGAACTGGTATTCTAGTAACAGTGGATAGTTTTTCTACTACTAGGAGTCTGTCCATGATTCTCTAATCTCTGCTGTTCTCTGTTGCCATAAAACTGTTTTTGATATACTTTAATGTCACCGAGACCGGATATTAGATAAGCAGGTGGATGGAAAGACAGTTCGATGTTAACTTTTAATTTTATTGTTCACAATTTATTTATAATCTGCAAAGATTTCCTTTAAGGAAAGCCTTTCTGACTTTATTTTATGGACTTTTGTATATCCATCCATCCATCCATCCAATATACAGATGGGGGTCCTGGGGGGACTGATGCAAGACAGCAAACAAGCCAGGATGGGGCACCAGCCCATCGCTGGGACTTTTATATATTTATGTGGGAAAAAAAAAGATTCGGATCAGTGTTTCCTGTGCAATTATGGTAATCTATCATAGTGAAGTCAGAGATAAACGCGTTTGGTTTTTATGGAAGCGGCATCAATAACGCGTGATGGCGCCGTCTCCGCTCTCAGTGACACGGGGGCGTGATGAAGACGATCAGGTGACGACTTTACGTTTTTAGACGTACCCACCTCGCGGCTGTGCTGCTGACGAGCGCCGCATTTCCGGAACGCTCCGTAAAGTCACTCTGGGTTTTCACGCAGTCGTTTCGTGGCTTGGGGGGGACTTGGGCAGCTGGTTGACCTTGTGCACCCAGAGATTATTTTCGGTTCCTCTCTTCTGTTTATTTCTTTCTCTCTCTCTCTCTCTTTCCTGTTTTATGCACCATTCTGTATAAATGATGTAATAATGAGTTGCTACACACTCTTGGCGAGTTGCGAAAGGCACTATACAGAAATAAATGGAATCCCCCGCAGATGTGAGACTTCTCCCGGAGCTCTTCACGGAGCTGGAGCCGAGCGACATGCTGCTGTACAGAGTCCAGGTCATCCTGCTAATGCCTCCCTGCTCTGCCTCTGGGGTCAGCGATCCTGTGCAGTTCCTCCTGGCCGAGAGTGGAGGTACCTAAGACCACGGGAACCTAAGACCTGCTAGAACTGCCCACGTCTCCAGGTTCATAGGGTTTAGCCAGTGTGTCCCTGAAACCCGCTCTATGCACCCATTGGGTGCCCTGAAATCTGCTCTATGCCCCCATTGGGTGCCCTGAAATCTGCTCTATGCCCCCATTGGGTGCCCTGACACCCGTTCTATGCCCCCATTGGGTGTGCTGGAACTCAAACTAAGCCCCCATTGGGTGCCTTGAAACTCACTGTGTGCCCCCAGTGGATGGCCTGGAATCCACGGTGTGCCCCCAATCACCAGACACACTAGACACCATCACATGTGTCACACAAACATCTGTTCTGTGGTGAAGGCAGATCACTTTGATGCATTGGACAAGTCACATATCAGAACAGAAACTTATTCCATTCAGCCACAGTTTATATACCTTGTTTTTATTAAATCAGGGTGGTTTCCTCTGTTAGCCTGCCTGTGTGGGGGGGGGGAGTTGACCTTGGACTCCCAGAATTTTTTCTTCCGTCTCTACTTGGTTTCTCTCCTCTGTTCTCATCTGGCATCCTTTCTTTCCCTCTTCCCTGTTGTGAGTCACTGTTGTGAAAGGCGCTATATAAAAATGCGCGTTCCAGTGGGCGGCCGCCGCAGCTGTGTGGCCGGCCATCGGAACCAGGCGCTGACCACTGTCCTTCTTGGCTTTCAGACTTGGACCTTCTACCAGGCTTCTCCCGCGGTTCACTCTCCTCACAAAAGCTTGCCGACCTGGAAGACAGACAGACGCAGTACCTTACTCACGCCATGATGTGTAAGTCTTGGGGAGGAGGGGCTATACTGACCAGCTTATTTTATTGTAGCTCTAGAATATGTTAATCATTATCATGTCAGTGATAGAAGCAATTATAACCAACCCAGAGAGCTTCCTAGTGATGCTGCATAATCCTCATGAATGACACTGCAGGTTAGAGTATTCCTTGTGTAAGACTGAGGTCTGTACTCAGTCTCCTAGCCGACGCTTTTATCCAGGGCTGCAGAGAATTCCACTAAAGCGTCAGTAAGTATGGCACATCCACAGCTGACGTCCACGCTCCTCGCCTGCAGGGGAATGTGCGAAACGGGTGAGCGCGTGGAAATCGCCCCCGGGAAAACTGCAAGTGCAGTGAAAAAAAACCAAAGATTACCCATAATGCCCGAATCCCGTTCAGCCTCAGCGGGCGCCTTTGAGTGTGCCGCTCGTGTTTTATGACAGGCAGATGCAGCATTTCCACGCTTTCCCCAGGTGCTCATTAGCCAAGAATCGATGATGACTGTGCCAGCAGTGAGGAGCTCGGGGACCGAGGCTCGAGGCTCGAGGCTGGAGGCAGACTCCCTGCCGGCGTTTTCCCACTTTGGAGGCAGACCTTTCTGCCTCCACCCACTCGGGACAGGGGGACTGCAGCCTGTAGGTTTGCATTGACGATGCGTGCTGCGGCTGTCTGACCGCGACGGGGTTCTGCGTCGGTAATCATGCACCCTGGGGTCTTCCGACACATCCAGGTTCAGGACATGATTAACACGGGTGGTCTTCTCAGCTGTCAGACTCTTGTGGTGACAGGAGCGGGTATGACAAAGACTGAGATTAAACCTAAAAGTAAACGACTGACAGAATTTAAAGAGCAGTGGATTTATATTGGATTAATATCTCGGTTATCTTGATGCTGTGCCATTATAAATCTTTCAGCAGTAAACCATTTACCATCAATAATAGAGACAGGCTGGCAATTGCAATTAAAACCCAGCACTGCCTCTCCTTTCACGGGCAGTCAGGCAGGAGGCTCTGGAAGGTGCCCCCTGGTGGCCAAGGTGGGAGGAGAATGGGATCATGTGATCATCTGAGAAGTGCAGTGGATTAAGTGGGGGGTTTAGAACTCCCCAGTCCGATGTGTCGGTGTTACTGTGAGTTTTACTGTGAGTTTTACCCAGTCCTCCACCGGTGAGGGAACCGTCAGCTCCCAGGAGGGGTGTGGCTTCCAGTCATATGACATTATGGTTAGCGCAGAGAAAGATGGTCTTAATAAATGATTTAAGAAAGCAATCACGAAGTTACGCACTATTTAAGGCAGGGTGAGTCATACTGCAGATCAATAAAGTACATCTTAATCTTAATTAGAAAAGTAATGCAACAGCATGTAATCCTGGCCTGTTCGTGAGCAGGCTAACGGGCTGGCGAGCGGGGTTCCGGGCCAAGCGGCCCGTGGGATCGCCAAGGTCAGTCACCAGCAAAGACACCCCAGTGGCTAAAGCGGACAGGTGTTACCGCCAGGTTGGCATCCCCGGATTGAGGAGCGTTGCCTCCCCGTTGCGGCAGCTGGAGGCTAATGGAGTTTCCCCCTGCTCCACACCCCCCCCGCCTCAGATATGCGATGCCTTGGCCTAGTTTAGGCTTTATTAATACCCGCGGGCGGAGCGCGGATTGATGCCGCGGTGAGGTCGGTGGGGGGGGGCTAGCTGGTGGGGGGACTCACCCCCCCCCACCAGCATGTTTCCAGCGACGCCAGCGAAGCGTGATCCTCCTGAACCTGGCACTTTTTATCACGAGGCCTGGGAAATCACTCAGACGTCTGCATTAATCATAACTACACATAAACTGTAGATAAGGTTATAAATAATGGCGCTTCCTTCTGAATATTACATTTTTGGGTGTTTAGTGTCTTAACAGTCAGAGAGGAAAATATGATTTTAATGACTTAGTGAAGATTAGTGAAGCCCCAGAATGTTTTTCAATTGGGGTCTTGAGGCCCCTAAGATTGATTATCTTTGTTTTAGCACAGCATTAGCATGCCATTAGCATAAGCAGGTCGAGGTAGCATCTACTGCGACGGCATGGGTGGGCCAAGCTGGTTCTGGGCCCAACCAGATAGAACACAGACCCACCCGTGCATCGTTCATAGCGAGTGATACAGTACGATAAAATCTGTGTCTGACAGGCATGTGTGCGTGGTCAGATCAGTCGGAGGAAAAGTAGCTGGAAAGTATGCAGTGTGATTTTGTTGGCAAGTGAATTATTATGGGACCGGCCCACCTGACTTTCTGCCAGCCCAACCACACTATGATTTCTGGTTCCGCTATTGCTTGTCCAGCTGAGATGGTGTGGCTCCAGATGCTAACAGAAATAGCATTTCAGCATTAGCATACCATTACCATAAGCAAGACAAGTTAGCGTCCGACTTGGACAGTACGGCTCCCGGTGCTAATGTGGAAAGCACTTTAGCATGAGCGTACCATTACCTTAACCAGAACAAGTTAGCATCCGTCTGGGGTAGTGTGGCACGCAATGCTAGCATGAATAGCATTAGCATTAGCGTAGCATTAACCAACTAGTTAGCGTCCAGCTAGTACGGTGTGGTCCCCAATGCTAACGCAAACAGCATTTTAGTCTGTGAGTGCAGGTAACCTTATAGTCATCATCATCCGAGGGAGCATTTGTCCAGTTGCAATCTAGTGTATGTTTTTAGTACAAGTGATGCTGGTGGTAGTCATTCCACATTATTGTGTCAGTACAATTCGAATGGGAATGAAATCACTACAATCACAATGATTATGTATAAGTGGAAAATGGAAGTAAGAGTTACTGCATGTGCACCGTGCTTATTTATTTACCGTCAACCGATCTGATACATGTGCGACTTGTACAGATTGGGCCCTGTTTGTGCATGAGCGTGTTTGATTTAAATCCCCATAGCAGCGATAGCAGGTTATAATTGTGTCGTCCTTCTTTATTACGCTGTGCTCAATTGCCAGAATAAACTTTACGTCTTCCACTCACACGAGGGACTGATAAGTACGTGAGAATCCATTGGTTGGATTTTTCCTCTTTTACTACCTTTTCTTGCTGACACTGAAGGAGGTTCAAGAGGAGGTTTTGCAGCTTTTTCCTCCAGATATGCTACTGAAAATGGATCACAGCAGCCCATGTTTGGGATGCATTAATAAAACCTGAAGCACACATTCTGACTTGTCTGTACCGGTATTCTCCAAGATGGCTGACGGGTCTTTCAACAATATGGTACCGGTGCTCTGTGAAGCCAGGCGGATTCGGTGCAGCAGAGTAGGAATCCTGGTACCAGATGGCGCTGGTGTGTCCCCGCTGTGCCGGGGACGCCGACCCTGCTCCTACGGGGGGGGGGCCCTGCCTCTCGCGGCAGCACTGAAAATGTCAGACGTCCGCGGTTTTTCAGCGTGACTTACGGCCAGCTGTTGGCCCCTGCAGTGCCCAAGGTGCGGGAGGTGGTGTACTGCACATGCTCCGTGCGGAGGGAGGAGAACGAGGACGTGGTGGAGAGGGCCCTGAAGCTGGGGGGAGGGGCCAGGCACCAACCGTTCAGGTGAGCAGTGACCAGTCCGTCCTCCACGCCCTTCATCCACAGGCGCCACTGACCCACGGCAGGAAGCCAACGAGCGGATGATTGGAAAGCTGAAGAACTTATAGGGGGAGTCTTCTAGGGTTACGCTTTTATTAAAAAGTGATCAGAACCACCTAATCGACAAGAGTGAATTAGCGGTAAATGAGAAGTAGAATGGGGGTGTATTAAGTGGATAGGAGAAAGACCGTTGTGGAGAATTCTGTTACTGTTCTATACTAAAATGAGAATCTGAAAATGGATTTGATTTCCTGTAGGACCTTCAGATTTGCCGTTAGATGACCGGAGAGTGTGGCTGTGAGGTCGGGCCGGCTGTAATCTCTCCCTGAGTTCGGAGCTGACATCATAAATACGCCGGGCTCCTTAGGCTGCGTTCACATTATAAGCCTCATTGTCTAATTCTGTCTGCTTTTTGCTCGGATCAGATTTGCCTGTCTTGACGGTTCACATTAAATCACAAGTGACCTGTATCTAACGCAACATGTCCTCCGAGATGGTCCACATGCAGACACTCATATGTTTTTGCACGAATCATCTGCCCCACCAACAACAAAAAGCATCATATTTTGTAGGATGATCAGCAGTTGTTGGTGCTGCCTCTGCGGCGATGGCGGTGTGGTGCTGCCTTTGCCTGGAGCTGCTCCTACTCCTCTCTCTGCCTCCTCACACCCCCCATCACTCCCACCCCCCATCACTCCCACCCCCATTGAGCTCTTTCCACTTCTTGCTACTTTTGCTCCCTTCACAGTGACCAGAGTTTCTGCTCCGCCCTCCTGTCTCCATGTATCTTCAGTGCATCCCGTGAACGATCTCAAAATACGTCCCTAAGTGGTCCAGACTGACCTAGCCATGTTTCCCTGACAGGGTGAAGCCCCTGGCACTGTCTTCCATCAGCATGTCCCCAGGGGGGGGTGCTGATGACCCCTTCTTCAGGACAAGTCCCTCCGAGGACAGTAATGGCTGCTTTGTAGCCTGGCTTACCATGGAGGTGAGCGTACTGATGTGCCCAATGCTATTACGTCATTGCTTATTGAGACGATACTGGACAGTGTGCAGATTTTACTTGATTTACTGCATGAGGACCTTCGTCACTGTCGTCAGCAGAAAAAGGACAACCAGCGCCTTCTGACACAGAACGCTGATTTAGGCAGTGACCCAAAACCTGTGCTTAGGCTCCGAAGCCTTACATGCAAGGATATACAGAGGGGCGGGGCCACAGGAGCACATGGAAGCTGATTGGCCCCTGGAGTGCCCTTCCGCTGTCAATCACCATTTAAAGACATATCATTGGCTAATGATAAAGTTGGCTTCTCTGTATGAATTATGGCTACCCTAAAGAAATCCGATAACCACCCCCGAACGTGGGCTATGTGTGTGTCTTTGGTTTTCCTTTCTGTAAGAGTCCTGTGGAAGCTTAAAAGTCTCTGAAGGACCTCCCGCGTTTTTTAGTCCTCAGCAGCCTCTTTTCCTTCAAAGCGAAGATTCACGGGGATCCAGGCGCTAATTCCGCTCGCATCTTAAATGCGAGTCCCTGCTGCTCCCATGCCTCACTGGAAAAGCTGGTCCACCCGTCCGCCATTGGCAAGTCGGCACTATTCGCTCTGGCATAGACTTGTTGAGAGGATGCCAGTGTCCAGGAGCGGGCCGGATGCCGGGACAGCTTAGCCCTGCCGTCCGGGGACCTGGAGCGTGTAATTGCATGGGAGATGAGACCCTCGTACCATCTATCTTCATCTACTGTCAAGTGCCTAAATCCTCATAAATGCGAAAGGCGTGTTGTAATCAGTAATATAAGGAGCCTTGGGGTTGGGTTGATGTTTCCGCAGTGACAGAGCAGGCCTCTCGTGGAAACCTTTGTGCCTCTCACCTGATTGGCTAATCATCTTATAATGAAGTCGTCAGTAATATAAGGAGACTTTCGGTTGGCTCGGTATAAACTATTCTAATACAAGCCAAAACTATATCTGAGAGATTTTCATAAATAAAGGTCCATAAACAAAAAAAAACTGTATAAAAGAAACTTTAAAGAACAGCACAATTCCATTAGCTGCCAGCTTTGCTGTGCTGGTCCCGATTTGTTACTGTGACTCAGGCTCGGTCTGTGACATACCGGGAGGGTGAGCCAGTGTTGTCACGTCGACGTGGTGCCAAGACGCTGTGTGACAGTTAACGCTATTCTCTGCTGCAGTGTCGCCGGGCAACTCGTTTCTGTGGAAACCTTCATGGAACTCCGGCAGACCGATTCCTGGTTATCTACCAAGTTCACGGCCGTGCAACTGTGTAGCTGTGGACTGTGGCCGCAGGCGTGCTGGCCAGTGCTGCTCGGCACACCTGGTACAGAACAGGTAGATGAGAAGGTCAGAGAAGGTCAAGACCCTCCTTAAGGTCTGGCCAGCAGATGGAGTCAGGCAATCTGATTGGCTCCCTGTCAAACAAACACACAACACAGCTCCGCTCTGCCGGGAACTGGCCAAGCCTTTGATGCCTATGTCTGGTATTTAACAGGCTCCTTGGTGCAGACGATGTGCACTGCAGCCGTCCACACTTCCGCTGATGACCTCTCCGCTGTGCTTGCAGAGAAGGCCTGTTTTATCATAATATTAATCTTTTATGTTTTAGCTTTCATGCACTTTACGGCCTGAATTTTGCATCCGTGTGCACGTGCATTACTTCAGGCGGCCTTATACATCTCAGCACATGGCGTTTTATGGCAGGACATTTATCTGCGGAGTGCAGCTGGGACTCGGCTTGGAGGATAAGGCGGGTGAGGGCGCGCTGTCACGGCACAGAGGCAGCCACATCTTAACAAATGTGCCTAATTATCACGATCGCGTGCTTCTTGTCATTCCATGGATGTAGCGTCATAGTAGTGATCATAGTAATTTAAGAGATCCTTCCTCTTTGATTTTTTTTTTCTCCCTCTCAGGAAAACACCATTTGAAGAATGTATTAAATCACAGGAAGTAAAGGTGCTTGTGACGCTCATGCGAATGGACAAACCGACGGATTCTTATGCAGACTTTCAGGCCTTCATCGCCCGGCCCATTGTGACAGTTTGGGGGCAGAGTCAGGGCTGCTGATTCGGTGGCCCCTGTGGTCACATGACCCCGGTCACACCAGGGTGGCGGCCGAAGTCTCATCGTCCGTTCTCAGTGATAGCAAACCCGAAACCAATAATTAAAGCTTAAAATGGAGTAAATCAGCCTTTACTTACTCAGTCGCTGAGTAAATGCAGAGTAATTGTTAATACATTATCACAAAGCGCACTCTATGTTTGGGAACCTAAATAAATAGTATCATCTTCTGAGAAATTACAGCAATCGCTTGATTTAACCCATTTTGAATCTGTTTGGTCATAAGCGCTAATTAATTAGGACACCGCTGCACATTTATTAGGACTCCAGTGCGCATTGTGGGTATCCAGGAGTATCGCTCATACAAGATTAATCCTCCTCCTGCTGTGATTCTCTGCTCAGAACATACATATATATCACATTGGCATCAAGTTCAGCTTGAGTGCCAAAGATTTCTCATCTTTCCTTTTCAATAAGATGGTTCAATTTATAGCAGCGTGTCTGAATGACGGATCTCAGGATCTCCGCCGTGGGTAGTCCGTTACACTCGCTCAAAATGAAATGCCATTTCGGAAAAGAAAAAAAAGAGTAAATGGGCAGGAGAAAATCTTGGCAATCTAAGTGCCCACAATGAAATGTCACAAATGAAATGTCACAAATGAAATATTTGGCCATTACATCAGCTGCTCGGACGCCTGGGTGCTTGGCATCTTAGCGCCATCTGCTGTGATAAAGTTGATTTAAGGTGGGTACCCCCGCCCCCCCCCAGGTCCTGCTGTCATTGGTATGGGGCCATCGTGGGATGGGGGGGGGGGGACAGTGAGACCTCTCCATCTGAGGATTAGACTTTGAGATCTTCCCGTGATGTAAAGGTCGAATCTCTGTCATGCCTTCAATGCAGAGATTGGGTGCACAGATAAGCCAAAAAGCAACGGGAGGATCATCTTCTGTGCCTCGTTGATTATCGTCTCATAGAAGAGCAGATCTCCAAAACGTACCCAGTCCATGGCTTGTTTTTCAGAGATGATGCCACCAATGACCTAGACAACTCAATCACTCACTCATGTACTCCAAAAAAGGGAACTTTAGTTACATTTCCCAAACTCACTAAGTCGCCCGAAATGGCACTCACTGACAAACGTATCTCATCCACAGATCTCGTTTTCTTTTCGATTGCTACACCCGAGGACTAGAGAATCTGCAGATCAGACTGGCTTGGAGGTGTCAGTTTTCCACACTGGTCTTTAGTGTCACTGGGCATGTAGAGCAGGAGTTCACTTACTGACCTTCTGAGTGCATCTGCTGTTTCCTGAGAAGGCGTCTTGCTGCTTTTTATTCTACGTGTGGCAGGTTGGGGCTGTTTCAGGTCAACTTGAGGCCGGGCTGCTCTTATCCATCTTAACTGGTAACAAGGAGCCACATGCATTTGGTTGGGCTCAGTCATACACGGCATCCATCCGAGGCTCAGACAGAGGCTGCTCATTTATTCATGTTTCTGCCTGTGAGCATTACCATCAGTAGGGCGACCTCAGGAACCCCATCTCCAGCGCTGCGCACCTGCCCCTCTTAATCCATCAGAGAGGCTGGGGAAGATGTTAAAACGACCACAGTGGCCCATAGAAGGTCCCCTTCCTGCCCCGCTGGATGGAGAGCTTCATCTATATGGGCGTCAGGTGACACAGATATAACCAAGTGCATAAACCATGCTCTCCGATTCAGTCTTGACCTTCATGAAGGTGTCACCTGGTCCAACCTCTGTTTGTGACGGCCGGCAGCACTGCTCTGAGATTCTACTTGCCAGTCCAGACAGCCCACGGAAAAGCTGGAGTAAAAAGGTGGACATGACTGTTGGAACCATTTCAATTCTCTTCTTGTTGCTTCGACAGCTGGACCCAGAGGAGGAGGTGCAGAAAGTTCTGGAACGAGCGGCTGCTAGGGGCCTACTTGCCGATGGCGTGGGAGGTGTGGAGGCCAGTCGGCCACCCAAGACGACGAGACGGAGACGGATGGGGAGCGTCACACTGGGCACTCGCCCCGCTGCCCGGCCTCGGGGCTCCTCCATGAGACAGGTTCACTCTCAGGAGGTCCCAGAGGCTGGATCCCAACCTGGGGGCAGCCTTAAAGGCCCCGTCAGCAAGCGCTCATCACGGAGGAAGGTGGGAAAGCGAAAGGCAGCAAAACGAGCCTCCAAGGCTAAGACTGGGAGCCTTGATCCATCACCTTTCCTTCGCTGGCCCCGCCCCAATACTGTCAACCAATAACAAGCCCCACCCCTCACACATTGCCATTGGCAAATGTGGTCCATCTGCACTCCTTTCCTGGCCCCGCCCCAATACTGTCAACCAATAACAAGCCCCACCCCTCACACATTGCCATTGGCAAATGTGGTCCATCTGCACTCCTTTCCTGGCCCTGCCCCAATACTGTCAGCCAATAATAAGCCCCACCCCCTCACTATCATTGGTAGATGTAGTCCATCTCCCCTCCCCTAGCCACAAGTTCCTGTTCCATTACGGCCACACTGCATTATTCTGAATAGCGACTGCTGTGGGTCCTCATGTACTATGATTGTAGAGGATTTAAAATTCTAGCACATACTGTATTTGGTGCAGAGCTTGATTAAAATTATATAATGCTTGATTAGAAAGCCCTCAGATTAAATTTGCTGATTTTATTACATTAAAACAGCTACATATTCATGTTCAGTTCTGTCTCTATACGATACTAAAAAGCAATTCGAAGCTTTTAAAAGCAGACATAAAAATGCCAGCTCTAGGGCAAACTTTCACTTAAATATAGTTCATTAATAATTCAGCCATTGCTCTGTGTGGCTGAGCGTCAGCTTAACACGAAGAGGGGGGAAAAAAAATCAGCATTTTGGGGAACCTATTACTGCTCGACTTGGAAGCTATAAAACATAAAGGTGGTTTCGTGGGTAGGAAGGACATCAGGGGACACACCGGTGTCCCATAAGGTGAGGAGGACGGAGAAAATAAAGTCAGAAACACCTGCTGGGACTTTGGTTTGGAGAGCGCAGAGTCTGACGACTATAACTAGACCATTTTTATAGAATCTCAAATACAAAGCAGGTAAAGATAAAGGTTGCAGGGACACAGAAATATATCCTTTTAGCCCTTAACTGGCTTTCAAAAATTTGCTGAATTTGCAAAAAACATGCTAAATAGTCTCAAGACCAATATTTCGAAATTTCAGCATTTTTCCCCTCTTGTCGTGTGGAAGTGACTATTATAAAAATATTAGTTTGGCTTAACTTGGAGAAAACAAGATCCTGCTCTTATTATAGACTAATATCAAATGGTTTTAAAGTTTAACCACGCAGAAGGTGTGTAGTAACATATCTAAAATATTTACTGTGTGCTTAATCTCAAAATGATGTGTAATGAAACCCACTCAAAATCTATAGGATGGGGGTCTATAGCCTGCGATAAATGGTTTCATTAATTTCAGTCGCTTAAACAGTTTTTCGGAAGAATTTACGATGGACTGTCTTATAACCTTTCTTACGATCCATTTGCCTTTCCTCAGCAAACCGGTGTTTTCATAAATCTGCCTTCTCATTGCCGGGATTGTCTGACCACGTTCAGGGAGCTGGACGGCCTGTAAATGAACGCGGTGAGGGGTTGTTGGGTTCAGCCGGAGGACAGCGGAAGGCCAAGACTGCACGCCGCCGGCCCCTCGCTAAGCGCGCGGCTACAGCGGCATTAGCTAGCTTAGCGCAAAGCCTTATGGTCCGTTTACGTGCGGAAATGTGCAAAAGCCTGCCTGCACTCGACCACAGTGTAGCAGAATGAGAAACCGTCCATTGTATAGCTCATGGTATCATGCCGATGCTTCTTTCAGTGACCGCAAAGCAAAGCTTGCAGACGTCAAAGAGTTCACTGCGCAGTGCGGCTGCGGAAGGACGACATGGAGCCGGCTGGAGACAGTGTCAGATTTTAATATGCAGGTTATTCTCACGACAGATTACATGAATACGGTGTAAATCCTGTAACACCAGAAGCTTTTTTTCCCGAAGTGTGTTTAAAGGTGAGTTTGGTCTCCTCGGCGCTGTTAGTTAGCTGCGTTAGACATTCGTGATGGGATACATCTTGGTGTCTTCTGGGCTGGAATAAGCTGACACGAAGTGTGGTGGGTGCAGCATTTCACACGTCTAAAATCTAATGTCCTCCTCAAACTATTATTCTGCAATTCACCTTCAGTTAATGTCGTTCAGCTCCGCTGCAGGGTATCCTGCTAGACCACACTTCCTTGTTAGTCTGAAAACAATGTACAGACATCACTATGACCATGCAACCTTGGCCGCAATTAATTCCTCACTTGATGTGACTATGAAAAGATCCCTTTTGAAGGCTACAGTAAATGGGAGAGGCTGAAAGAAGTCTGTCTTCATGTGTTTGTTCACAAAAATAATAACACGACGTGCAGTTTAAGTGAACTGGACACTAAATCCAGATTTCAGGTTTAGTCTGGTTTTCTACACCTTAAAGAAGGAAAGACACCCGACAACTCCATCTCACCCTCACGCCAGCCTGACTGAAGCACACCCCTCCCCCACCCCAGTATACACTAGACCTGGGAGGTATTTACAGTAATACGCTATACTGGCGAATTTTAGGTATATTTGTTCAGTGAAATTTATCTTGGGGAATAACGCGCCCCCTCCCCCCCAGTGAATCCACCAAGATGTCAAAATACCAGGGTAGCATTTCTTTTGAAAATACCACCAAAATACCATATACCACGGTATAATGTCTGGACGGAATGACGGTATGAAAAATGAGATACCCCCCAAGCCTATTACACACTCTAATGCCCTCATCATTAATGTGAACATCCTTCTATCTGTATTTTGGTGCAGAGAAGATAACGTTTTACAGTAAAAAGACCGGCGTACGTCTGCTGGTCCAAAACGACACATACCGTGACGCGTTCTGGACGCGGTGGTCCTCACGCCATTTGACCTCTGCCCTGTTACTGGGGATACTGGGATCTTTCCAATCTGCTGCAGGAGTTGTGCTATTAGCTATCGAAACATCGCATGGCTCATCAGTGTCGATTGACTATTCTGAGAGAGACTAAGTGTACGACGAAACGGGACCAGCTGCCCAACAAAATAAAACCATTATACTCCAATATAAAAAAGAATAAATAAAATAAAAGTATCTGTTAAGTACATATTATCCTTAAGTTGTCCCAAGACATGCAAGGCAAAGTGTCTGATTTGAAAACTGCTAGATCAATACAATGCATAGATAATGCTTGGGAACATCGAATTTTACAACAACGAATTGGCCTAAAGACATTAAAATAAAATAATTAGCATCAGTTTTTTCCCCCTGTCATTTTTGACTATCTACACCACATACTTTAGACTTTACACTTTGGCCATAAGAGACAATGTCTTTCGATAACAGAAAAAAAAATAATAAAAAATAAAGAATTGAAAAAAAAATTGCATATAAAGAGATAAATACATGCAAAATGTTATATATATATATGTACACAAGTGAATGACTCACATCACTTCTGCGTTTTTCACCCCCCCTGGGACAGAAGGCTTCATGGCTGGTTCAACGCAAATGGGGGGTGGGGGGGACGTCTGGGCATGTGCAGGCGACAGACACGGGGGAGTGAGAGCCAATATTCGGTTCCTTTCTTCTTCCCCATTTGGTTTTCAGACGGACATCCCACCCACAGCGCCAAACCTCCTGCACTGATACCATACCTGAAAGATCTGATCAAGACCACCTCCCCCCCCCAAAAAAAAAACTGGTATGGACCACAGCCGCCCAATATGACAGCAGCAAAGCTCACTGACATCAGGTGTGCAAAGAAATCAGGAAAAGAAAACTGATACATGTACATAATACAAACTTAAATATGTATGAAACATTCATTCATCTGTCCAGTGACCCGTCTGGGTGTTACTCATCTCCCAGTGGCGTGTGATGGGTGGAACACCGGAACGCCGCCCCCTGCTGTCCCCATGGCGTCTCTGCAGGTCCCTCCAGTGCGGGGCCATTGTTTGTGCTGTTGCCAGACCGGGGACCGGAGCGAATCCACGGTTGACCGCTGTCCACACCATTGCGGGCCTTTCCATCTTTCACATGCACATTTTTTTGACAGATATTGGTAATATTCATGAGGACCAAACCATCTGGGTCAATGGAGAAGGGGGGGGACAGAGCCAAGGACGCGGAGGGGAAACGGCAAGCTGGAATATCGGTGTTTCCATAGCGACAGAGGAGGGGGTCAAGGGATTCAGGAACGGCTGGGTCTACGTGAAGACAGGGACTCCTCTTAGACCAACAGCAATATGGCACAGTAGACCATCGTGTGGGAAGGGATTCGGAAAAATCCAGAACGTTGATCCAGGGGCGGGCCCGGAAGACGCCGTGCGGTGCTGGCGTGTCCGTAAAGCTGCGGACGTGTACACACGTCGAGTGTAGCCGACTCGCATGGGCTGCATAGCGAAGGCGTGGTCACGTGACACAGGCATGCTCCGGGGAGGACGCAGGGCTGGGGGGGACACGGTGGCGGGGGCCGTGGGGGCAGGCGTGGTGTCACAGCACTGGCGCGTGTTGCTGGCTCTGCCTTTCGCCTTCCACAGGTCGCTTCTTCAGTTGCTTGTTGCCGTTAAGTTTTTTTTTGTTTTTTGTTTATTTGTACTTTTTACTTATTCATCTTGCACTTTAGTGTAATGCACTGCAGGTATTTACATTATTATTGTATTAATTATTATTATTATTATTATTATTATTATTATTGTCGTGCTCATTATCGCTGATTTCGCCGCTACTGTGGCAGCTCCTGGATGGGCCTCTTCTGTTTCAGAGTGTCAATGAGTGACAGCACCCCCCTCTTCACGCTCGTGGACACGCGCCGCGTCACCGAGTCTGTAGGGGGCGATGCTGAGCAGGCCTTCTGTGAAGGAGGCCGGGCCACCAAGCACTTGTGGTACCGCAGCTGTGGGCAAAAAAGGACCGGGGCGGGGGAGGAAGATACGGTCAGAAGCTTTGTGGCTGCCTCGTCACCTGATTGGCTGAACTTGATCACATGTTTCCGAGGTGGCACCAATAGCGACGCCATGGCCAACAGTAATGAGATGTGTGAGGGTTCTATTGTCTAGACACCCAGCTGGTTCCGACTCCTGAGTAGAACCAGGATCGACAGGTACCGCTTACACATCACAAAGTGGGAAACCTTTACCGCTGGGATTCTCAGAAATGACACTATTACTGGGATCCCCTCACTCTAAACGGGAACACGCCGGAGCGCCCCTTACCATGCACGCCGCCTGCACCGCCTCCGACACGTTCCCCGCGTTGGGGTCACACCAGAACACGTGGCACTCGAAATGCTGGTTCCCCGAGTCCATGATGAAGGCAAAGGTGTGCACGTCACGGCCCACGCCCATGAAGGACAGGAAGCGTACACGGCACTCCACAAGCACCTCCTCTTCCTCCTCCTGATTGGGCGGCAGGGACGCGTGGAACATCAGCGCCAAGGTGACGCTTAACACAGGCCTCATCCTCAGGGGGCATGTTAAGCAATCGCTACCGTGTATATAACCTTTTCTCGGGCATCACTGTCCGCATCCAAAATCCCTGCAGTCAGCAGATTTTTCATTTAAATAATTTTTTGGCTTTACTTTTTCAAGCATTAAACAGTACATCTTACTTAAACGGCAGGCTCCAAATTTTCCAAGAGTATATGTCAGGAAGTGTCCTGTATACACGGGGAGTTCCTTCGCCAGCTAATTAACAGATAACGGCCTGAGGCTCATTAGAAGGGATCCAAGCTGAACTGCAGGTGGTGAGGAACACTGAGGGGCACGATTAAGGTTTTTGCGTTATATCACACGGCCTGAACTGCATCTGACAGAGACACACGGGGGTCTGGGGGGGTGGGGGGGCACTTGCCTTCTCTTTGATGACGGTGACAGTAGCATCGGCCACGTTCAGCATGACCGGCGTCCAGTCGTCTCTTACGGAGGAGCCCAGGAGCCCGTCTATGGCCCCGTTGAGGATGTCCATCCCTGTAGATGAGATTTCAGCATCAGTTAATTGACCTGGACTCAGACATCAGGGGGCAGTACGGCTCGGATGTGGGGCACAGATCTACTTTTCATCTCGGCCTGTGTACCGCAGATTTCGGGGGGGCGCGTCCCCCTGCGGTGCCCAAAAAGTAATATGAACAAGAGACGCATGCAGCACAGTCCTCTGTGACAGACACATGATTTATTAATCGTGCGAAACAGGTCGAGAAATATCTGTGGCACGACGTGGGCGGGGCTTGACATGGGCGGGGCTTAAAGTGGGCGGACCTTAATGTGGGCGGGGCTTGCAGTGGGGCTTGTCATGGGTGGTCCTTGCAGTGGGCAGGGTGGGTGGGGCTTGTTGTGGGCGGGGCTTACCGATGGGCCTGGCCACGGGCAGCATGCCCAGGTAGAGCACGTGGAACTTCTGCACCAGCTCAGTCTTTGGGGTGGGAAACTCTGCTGAAGAGACATGCATCAAAGCTATGTGTTACTAACACTCCCGCGAGGGCACACTCATGCCCCCCCCCCCCCTCCCAGGGCTGACCACGGCAAAGCCTGAGAGAAAAATGATTGATTCTTAAGAGAGAAAAGCGTCCCGAGGGCTTGATCAACTAAAACCCGACCATGGGAGCGGAGCTCTATGCCGCCGGTGGATAAGAGAACAAAGATTCCTTCGATCAAACAGACATGCCCCCCCCCCAGCTAAGGGTGAGACCACGGGAGGCGGAGACTACCAATTCCCCCTCCCTGAACAAGGCCCGTCGGATAGTACTGGGGGGTAATCAGTGAGCCGCAATCACGTTTGGCCCCAAATCAAACATGAGTGACCAGCGGGGACACGCAGATTGAAGGCCGCACCTGGCCCATGAGCCCCTGGGGCTGCATCTCTTTACTCCTGAGCCAGGAGCAGCCTGTCAGCTGCCCAGAAAACATCAAACAACCCGCACGTACGAGTCCACACATACACCGAGTCTCTACGTCAAGACTCGGTGTTGATAAGGGATACGGTTTCAGACAGGGGACCAGCTGTTTTACTCTTGTAACTGCTTGCTTTACGTTACTCCAGAGAGACGTAGCTGCACCACACAATGAAAAGCGCCATTCTTCATGCCGTAAATGATATCATTAGCGGTTCTGCTGCAGGATGCATACGGGCTGCACCTTCACTGGTACTTTACCAGCACAGAATTAATGTGCACTTTATTTAAACACATTGCAATCTAAATCTAAAAAATGAACAATAATAACAATACATTAGACATAAATGCTATCAATATTCAACAGCGCAAAACAGTAGTTAGAGCAGTTGTAGATCTTACCCGCCTGCATCCCCAGATGTGTAGGTCTGTGCCACCCCCCCCCCCTTGGTGACCCCCTACCTTGCAGGGGGACGTCGGCTGTTGCCTGCATCCTGTCCAGAGCAGAGCTGCCTGTGGCTGCCTTGGCGTTCTTGCGTTCGGTCATAATCTGCACAACGTTTGGGGGGGGGGGGGTGCCAGGGGGGCGAAACACACGCCCAGGGTAAAACAGA